AAAAAGCTTGGACCCCCCCAACAGTGAAGGTCGACAACGAACAGAAGAAAAAACCACTGGCTCAATGGACACTAGATGAGAAGAAGCAAGCATCAGCAAACAATAGAGCTATGAATGCAATTCATAGTGCTCTTGGAGAAGGTCAATTCCAGCTAATTTCAGCCACGGATATTGCACATGTTGCCTGGGAAGCACTTATGACTCACTATGAAGGAACAGGATCTGTCAAAGTCTCAAAGTTGCAATTGCTCATGACCAAGTATGAGAGCCTAAGGATGGAAGAAACCGAGTCAGTTTCTGAATTCAGCGCAAGGATAAAGAACCTTGCAAATAGCGCACGGAACTTGGGAGAACCATTTGAAGAAGAGAAATTGGTTCGCAAAGTTCTGAGATCACTGCCTCCGAAGTTCAAAATGCAAGCTGTCGCAATTAAGCAATCAGCTGATCTAAAAACTCTAACTCTAGATGCTCTAATGGGAAATCTGCAGACTTTTGAGTTAGAAATGGAAGAGGAAGACAGGTATATGAACAAGGACAACAAAGGAGTAGCTTTTGGCGCTGCGGTACCTACAGGAGCTGACTCAGATATAGAAATGGATGAGGTCATGGCTATGCTGTCGAAAAAATTTGGCAAAATGCTGAAGAAAGCCAAAGGACAAAGTAAGATGAAAACGAGTAACAGAGGCGATGGAACTGGAAATGTTCAGAAGCCAAAAGGTCCAAGTCGAGACTTTAAACTCAAGGGTGTTCAGTGTTATGAGTGTGGAGGCTATGGACACATGCAAGCAGATTGTGGAAATCACAAGGGAAAGAAATCATATACACTTACCTGGAGTGACCTTGAAGATTCGGACAATGATGAACAACAGACGAGCAATCTTGTTGCTTTCCATGGAAGCATATATCACCCTGACGATATCGAAGAACGTGCAAACTACGAGAAGTTCTTCGCCAGTGTAGAGGAAGAAGTGATAGATAGTGCTTTACACCCCCCCACACCAGAGGTGTACGAGGAAAGTGAAGGGATGAAATCTGAGGATGAGGATATTGACCTGGTTGACGCATACGAAGAAATGTACAAAAACTGGTGTAAGGTAAGTAAGCTGAATCTCGTACTAATTAAAAATGTTGAATCTTTAGAATCAGAAAATTCTACTCTAAAAGTCACAGTAGAAAACCTCGAGGCTGACGTGGTTACTAGAGGGTCAAATGAAA